ATGAAGAACCTTTGACAAGAAAACAATGTGGGAAACGAAAAAAGGCGAAATAATGAAAAAATGGAAATAATGAAAAATTTAATGCGGTGCAAAAAATACATGCAGACGGGTTACGATAAGCTGATACCTTACTTCCATCAGCCTTATTAATTAATAACGAATCCTGGAGATTTTCAATGCTGGAGCAATTTTGGGGATGGCATAGAATGTGAAATAGCCCCACAGATGGAAGGCTTTTTACAGCTCTGCTCATGCTTGTGGACAAATAGTTTGGCCATGATCGATTCACCATTATGATAATTACTTAGATTTTTTTAAGGAGAAGAAAGGAGGTGCAGATTTTTTCCTACAAAAGCTATTTGTTGACAACCCCCAAATAAGGCAAAGTTGGTCCCATTTTGGCAGACATAAATCTGACCAAAAGCAATCATATACAAGTCTGAATATACCTACCCTGATCTGCTGAACACTAGCTGGCAAAAATTAGGTAACATCAGAAGGTAATTGGCTACATAAATGAAAAAAAAACACACAAAATATAAGCTGCCATTGTTTGCGTCTGAACTATCTGGAAAAAATACACACATATCAAAATTTTGAGCGGAGGTGGGATGTAAGATGTGTGCTTTTTTCGGATAGGCAACAAATCTTTTCAGAAAGTTCTGACACAAACCAAGGCAGCTTAATTTAAGATAGTCAGCAAATCATTAAAATATTTCAATTTCAGAGACTGGGTATAACGACATGCAGCCCAGATCAATCATCAATAAACATCGTGAGGGCAGCAACGGATCTGTTTAGTGACGACTGTCAAGATTTTTGGATTCTGTCTGGAAGCAGACTACATCATGGTTTAAACGAGAAAGATTACAATCTTAATTTACATAGTCTAAAAGTAGACAGCAGGGTCGGTATTCAGGTTACCCAAAATGGTCACCTAGTTTTTTATGCCGACGGTATGTGCATGGGTGCAGCAGCTTCTGACATTCCCACAAAGAAACCAATCTATTGTATATTTGATATTTATGGCAGAACTAAAGTTGTTTCCAAGGAGCTATTTCAAGGTAAATGCATCGAAAGAAGTGCATACCATTAACATTTTACAAACGTTTTGATAAATAAAGTATAATAAAACAATTATTCCTGAGAAAGAGTTTATTCTGCCTTGGAATCAACATGTAACCCCACTGATAAGGAAAGACACGTACAATGAAACTCTAAGAAGTCCTCTAGATAGTTTTGAACTTATAGATATCCAATAAAAATACAATTAGTTTACACTGTAGTAAGACTGGACCAGTATGAGATGGCATGTGATACACTTCCAGGAAGAACAGTGTAGAACTGATCATAGTTATCCAGTACAGATTAATTTAGTTTAGTTCATACAATTTCTACTAACTTTGGATAGTTCCATGGCATTGAGATATTCTTTGTTCCACCTACAGCTGAAAAACTAGAAGAACTTTGCAAGAAAAAAGTAAAGAAACATGTTAATGACCAAGATGTGGACAAACTGTTTTTACCAAAATACATGCTAGAAGACATTAAAAAAATGAGTAAACCGGACTCGTAACATAAAGTTAATTTTGTAGAATGACGACTGGGATTCTCTTGTGGATTAAAAACTTTTATTTATACAAGTATCTTGAATGTGTAAATTAGCTTTTAGTTTCAAAAACTATTAAATTTTTGATTGGGTTGAAAAGAGATAGCAATCAAGTTTTATAGAGCACTATTTAGCAACATGACTAAAAAACAAATATGAATAAATAGAGTGTTGATGTACATAAAATTTAAGATATTTTGTATTAATTAAATGTCCAATTTTTTTATGTATGCTTTTCTAGTTTTATAAATGTGAACCAATAATTAATTTGGTTTTCACACGATACAAAAAATTATAGGCTAAGGTGGATAACACAAACTGATGCGTTTATAATTCTTAATTATATCATGCAAAAACTGAATTCGATAATTGTTTTATTATTTAAAAGATTAAACAGCGGCCAGTTGTAGGAAGCCATTTGTGTTTCTATGTAATTCCTCAACTGTTCAGCAGTTGTCATTGCCATGATGTCATAACCTTCAATATTATTTTTCATATCAATGTTATGTCATATCAATGTTATGACGTCATATCAATGTTATGACGTCATATCAATGTTATGACGTCATATCAATGTTATGACGTCATATCAATGTTATGATGTCATATCAATGTTATGACGTCATATTAATGTTATAACGTCATATCAACGTTATGACGTCACTATTGAATATCAGAACTACATGTGACTCAGGTCTGAAATTTTTTTGCATATTGTGCTCAACCCACGATTACAGAAATGAGTCTGTGTTCAACTAATTATTACAGACGAGCATGAAACAGCATTCTTGCTTTAATTGGGAAAATTGCATTAAATTTCGCACGTATATATTATTAGTGTTACTTTGTTGCAAAAAAAAGTACGATATATTATTTCAATTCATTCATCATTCAATTCTTATCTCCGGTTTCTTAAATTTAATATTCCCAGAGATACGGTTAGTCACACGAGAGGCTAAATACTCTCCTACTGCTAACGCAACGACACTTATTTATCAGGTACTGAGTCTATAAAGGTTTCATTGAGCATTATCGTGCAGCAATAATGGTCAACCAGCAATTACGTGAGTGAGAAAATAATGTTAATTTTACTACATATCTCAAACTCATTTAAAAATAATTCATGAGTAAATAGACGAATCAACGTTTGTTGATGATTGGTTATACGACGTCAACTTGTGAAGTATTCTCAACGTTGTTTCAACGTGGATTCAACGTTGAATTATGGTTGACGAGATTGGCAACCTAATCTCAACGTTGTTTCAACGTCGAAACAGTAACGTCAATCCAATTTGCATTTTCAATCCTTTTTCAACGTCTATCCAACGTCTGGATGATCATTTCCAACGTTGATTCAACGTTGAATAGACGCCGTTTTGCCCGCTGGGAAAGGTCTTCTATTTGTAACTTTGAACGGTTCACCGGACAGATTATGTCTATAATAATTGTTTTTGTTTGTGGAAACACCACGTAAATTTATTACTGCAAAGCTTTCGATCCGTAAGCCCGGATCTTCATCAGTGCTAATAATATGATAACATATTATTAGCACTGACGAAGATCCGGGCTTACGGATCGAAAGCTTTGCAGTAATAAATTTACGTGGTGTTTCCACAAACAAAAACAATTATATTTTATCGCCATGCAAACATTCAAAGAACTTATGTCTATAATCTTGACAGACTATGCTTGAACACTACTATATATAATGGAAAGATCATTTTCTCACTCTGATAACCCTGCAGGTTGAGCACCATCTGCTGTGTACGATAGTGCTTATCGAAACTAGGTTTCAGCCAACAGCACCTTTACTTAAGTTAAGCTTTCGATCAGTAAGCCCGGACCATCATCAATCGAGACAAAATAACTTGACAACCATCTTTGTTATATTGTAACTACACAAGCTACCCTGGGAAGCAAATGGTCGTATTATAGAGCGGTATAAAAGAGCGGTATATGATACCCCCGGTTCCAACTTACAAGTACGGTCATTTTTTACCATTTTGATTGATGTGTGTTTACTCGTAACAATAGACCATAGTCGACTCGATGAAAAAGTGCGATCAAATATGTAAACATCAGTGACAATTACAAAAGAGAATGACGCTACCCGTAAATCAGAAGTTCAGAACCATCGTATCTTAACTTCTCTATTATTTTCTTTGATCTATAGGCATGGGAGAATTGAAATGAGGGTTATTATCCCATGCATGCTCTGATGGTGACCGGGCGTACTGAGGGTGGACTATTGACGTAGAAGCTCACGCAGAAACAGAGTCATTCTCCCTAGCTGGAGGGAATTCTATTTTACTACCTGGATCCTTTTTGTAATAAACCTTTCGCTGCCTGCGGTTCCTTTGAGGTAAAGGCACAAAACCGTTTGTTCCATTTGTCATCTGACTTTCTAATTGTCCATTTGGTAAATCAGAACTTTTCGCTTCATCACCATTCTCCTTGGTCGAGCTGGGATTATTTGAAGTGTCCACGGTCCCAGTTCGAAATGCAGAGCCTCCCTCACCTGGCGGGGTCTTGCGAATATACCGTCGTTTTGTCGTGCGGTTTCCATGATTAGGAGTCACGTGATTACTTCCCGCCGTCTTATCTTGCTGAGCCCGTTTGCCGTTATCCGCTGAACTGCCATCTTGCGCTTGCGTACGTTTATCCGCTGGGCTACCACCTTGTGCCTGCGATGCGCCATCCGCTGGACTACCATCCTGAGCCTTCGCACCATCCGCCTTGACTGGAGTCTTAGAATTCTGGTCATTGGTTAATTTTTTCTCGTTACGATTACCAAACGATTTCGTGGAATTTTGCGATGAACTTGTTTGTCGTTGACGCTGAGGCTGTCGACGCGAGTTACCCTGTTGTTCCCTGCCATTATTATTCCGATTAGATTTTGGTCCAAAATCTCTTGGTTTCGGCTTTTCACTAGCTGAGAAACAAAGAACCTTTATCACATTTTGTTGAAGAATGCAGCATTGCCTTCACTCCCTTCAGACATTCAATTTGTGATTGCAGGTATAGACTAAATTTTGATCAAGGCAAGAAGAATGAAATCCAACACCACAGCTAGAAAGAGCGTCATAGAATGAGTAAAACTGCAAAGATTGGTTGCTAAATGTTATAAAATGAAGAAAATATAGCCCTGTGAAATTCGCAAATTTTGTATATATTTGTATTACGCGCGGGAGAAATAACCCCTTTCCGGTTATCGTTCCATGTTTCGCGCACCAATATAAGTTAGGGTTAGGGGTTAGGTATTAGGGTTAGGTTTAAGGTTAGGGATAGGGTTAGGGTGTGTATATACGTGTATGGAGGTATCCAGTTAACTTTTCAATACACTATAATATCCATTACGTAACGTTTACTATATTGGTGCGCGAAACATGGAACGATTACCCACTTTCGGCTCAAAAACGGTTATTTTTGCCGCGCGTAATGCAGATATATACAAAATTTGCGAACTTCACAGGGCTATATTTTCCTCATTTTATAACAATTCGCAACCAAACTTTGCAATTGTACTCATTTTAAGATACTCTTTCCAGCTATGGGAATGGATTTTCGTTCTTCTTGCTAGATCAAAATTTAGTCTATAGATGGAATCACCCATTACATCCTAGAAAACATAATTTTTCATTTTTTTACTTACCAGTGCGGTCAGACGGTTTGCTACCTTCCTTAGAAACGGGCGAAACCTAGAACAGTAGAGAGTGGAAAATATTTAAAAAAATCATCGTTGCCGTTGGGTTTTGTTGGGTTTAAGTGTTGTACCACGGAGTAAAGAATGTTGGTCAACTTCAACTGTTAACACATATAAAATAAAAATATTACTTATATATTTATAATAAACTGTCTATTACGAAAGTCACCGAACTGTGGAATCGCATCAAAAATTCGTATATCGACCACTCCCACAAACGTCTACGACCGCGCCTACATTCGACTACATAGTTTTGCATGTTTACAATTCTAATTTTGAACAGCCAATCAGGTTCTTGGTAACAATTACAATTAAACGTCGATTGGCTGTTTAAAATTAGAATTGTAAACATGCAAAAATATGTAGGCGCGGTCGTAGACGTTTGTGGGAGTGGTCGATATACGAATTTTTGATGCGATTCCACAGTTCGGGGACTTTCGTAACTGCAATACGTCTTTGATAATGGCTGCCGTATAGGTAGCCGAAACGTTAAAGTTAAACGAAACATTAAACAAGACACAGAAAGGTCATTGTGCACTGTTGTACAGTACTGTAGTGTATACAACGGTCGACTTATAATAACTTATGGTTGCTCCTAGAATATTTATATATTAAAAAATAATTATTTTCTTGACACGGATTTTGGCATTGAATTATATTGCTTCATGGTGATTAACTGTAGTTTAAATGTTGAAGACAGCTGCAGATTGCTAGATACAACTGCCAGAAAAATATTTTCTGAGCTTGTACAAGCAAAAATAAACAAATTACTTGTGCTACGCTTTTACCTGTTGTTCTTTGACAGCTTGTTTTAGCTTTGCATGCATCTCCGCTTGATCTTTAAGCCGTGACGGCGACAACACTGGTCGTTTATCGTTCTTTGAATGAGTACTTTTCGTTTCACTTGAAGTAGAAGTGGTAGATGTGGTTGTCGAGACATTGCTCGATGCAGTGGTTGTCTTCACTGGCGGAGGTTTATGGGAGATTGGTTTCGAGGGTTCTGGGTGTTTTCGCTTGTATGGTGTATAATGGTGTTTAATTGGAGGAACTAGGAACAAATGAAGAAAACTTGAGATGATTTTGAGTTGATATAAACTATAATAAACTAAAGCCCAAGGGTGAGACTTGATAGGAGTTGGAATTCTCATCAACTCTCATGCAATCTCGTGTGAAGGTTCACATTTCAATTACCCTGGGTTCAGAGGTTTTCTGATGTCAGAGTTTTAGGAGGCGACGAGGTTTCCAAGCTTGGCCAGCACCGTCTGAGAGTAGGATACAGCTTCAGTGAAACAGAAAACCCACTGATCCAGACTACATTTTAAAGAGAGTTGATGAGAATTTTGGCTGCTCAGTCAACTCTCGTGCAACTCTTGTACACGTTTGACCGAGGTCCAAGAGTTGAGAAAACTCTCATGCAAACTCTCGCTTCTCAACCTCATCGACTCTCACGCAACTCTTGTTCACGTTTGACCAGGGCACGAGAGTTGAGAACTCTCATGCAAACTCTCGCTTCTCAACCTCGTCGACTCTCACGCAACTCTTGTCCATGTTTGACCGAGGTCCGAGAGTTGAGAAAACTCTCATGCAAACTCTCGCTTCTCAACCTCATCGACTTTCACGCAACTCTTGTTCATGTTTGACCGAGAGTTGAGAAAACTCTCATGCAAACTCTCGCTTCTCAACTCTCATCAACTCTTGCATGCAACTCTTGTTCACATTTGACTAGGGCACGAGAGTTGAGAAAACTCTCATGCAAACTCTCGCTTGCCAACTCTCATAAATTCTCACCCTCGTTAGACCTGCATGGACTTAACTTCATTTACACTTGATTCCTCTATCAGTCCTAAACTGCTCTCCCTAGATCGGTCCAGTAAAGGTAATCCCTTATTGCTCTAGTGTTTCTTCGGGAGGAAACTGTACAGCCCAAAGAAAACCTGTAGTGTTTGGTAGAGTCAAACTGAGAAATTATCGAGAAATTATAATCAAACAATTATGTACAACAGGAACTTCGGTCACAGAGAGACACATATGCGTTATTGTGGAACAAACTACAAAACGTTTATACATTTTTAGGTACAATACCTTCGCCAAAATTCTTTACAGCCTGCAAAATATAACAAACTTCAACTTTTAGTTCGTTTCCTTAGTAACTTTTGTGCAAAGAAAAAAATAAAAATATCTACAAGAAGGTTACAGTACCTCTATGATTTTTTCTTGATCTCGTACAAAACTGATCGTCTTGCCTAGATCTTCATCTATCCTTCTTTCCCCTACGAAATGCTGAAAACAAACAAGTTGGACAATTGTTGTTACTCAAGAAAAAACAATTAACAAGGCCCGATCTCCTACTGGGAGAAGGGAAAGAAAAAGCTCAAGTAAAAAAGAACTATTTCTAGCAGGTGATAAGAAGCGGATTATGAAATCGCCATACCTTTATTTCATTTCTTAATTCGGACGTTTCTTCGTCAGTCATACTTCCAACTCGATTACATTTAAACTTCAATCCCGCCGCATTTTCTTGCCTTTCTTCCAACAATTTTTCTACCAAGAAAAATAAAACACGGTATTGTAACCTAGATTATGTACGAATGTACAATGCGAATTTCATTCGCTTCCTTCAACGCAATTAAACGATGAGAACGTGTAGCCACGAATACACGTAAAAATCTTACAACTTGTCAACAAGATGTGTTCGCAACAGGCTCGTAGCAAGCTTGTCGACAAGTTGTAACAATGTTGTTATTTCAGCATGTTTCTACAAGGTTGTCAATCACAACATGTTGACAAATTGTTGACTTGCAGGACGATAACAAGTTGTTGGAACAACTTGTAACAAGTCTGTTGAGCTCAACAACGTTGTAGCAAGTTGTCAACAAGCCGTTAACAACTTGTCAACAAGCTGGGAACAAGCAGTGGAAACACATCCTGTTGACAAGTTGTTGGAACAGCATTGCTACAAGTCTGCTGCAGGTTTGTTACAACTTGTGCATTTTGACGTATGTACAAGGTGATTGGTTCTTTTCAAAAAACAGTGTACATACTTGCTTCTTCTATAACAGACTGCTGATGCGCTTGTAAATATTGTTCTCTTTCATTCAAACTATAAATAAGATATCTTGATTATTATACATATTGCTTTGAGTGTATACAATTTGATGTTAATGATAAGACCATGCATAGATTACTCACGCTTCTCTAATTGCTTGGAAACTTTTCGTCAACGTTTTGGTGGATAAATCTGCTTGCTGAAAATGAAATAAAAGGCAGTTAGGCCCCGTTTAAATGAGACAGGAACAAAGTCAAACCGGGACCATTTCGTTTCGGCCATAGTATTATTTATAATAGACGTTAACATGAGACCGGGACAAAAATAACTCAGACCAGTCTCAAGTCATTCCGCTTGCTGGACTGAGCCGACTGACTTCACTCAGACCGGCATGAATTCAGACTGGGATGAATGTAAACACAAATACATTTCAGACCGGTCTCGGCTGTAACCTTGACATTGGAACAACACATGCTAACAAAAGCCATCTAAAAAACAAAATTGCCTGGCAAGGGGAATAAATTGAAAATTTTGTGATTTTCGTACCAGTCTCATGTAAACATGTTGACAATTTCATTTATCATTCCGGTTTGACTTCGTCCTGGTCTAATGAAAACAGGGCCATATATCCAAACCACTTCAAGATATTTAGATTCAGGATGGTAACAGAAAGTGTCTGCTGACACCACCCGAGGGTCAGAACACTGCATTCTGTTTGTCATCTACCATGAACACAGAAATTGTACTTTCATACTCAGGGCAATTTATACGTAAACTACCGGGTCACCAGTAAACAATGTTACCCTCATTAACCCTTTAAGTGGCAATGCATCCTGATGCACCCTACTTTAGTATTTTACTCTGTCTAATGCCAGACAGTTTTACTCGTCAAGTGAAGAGTGCTGCCACTCAATGGGTTAAAGAACCTTTCTTTTTCTATAGAATTTAATCAGGCAAGAGTATTGTATGCAAGCTTTAGTATTCAAACAATCCTTGGCCAAAACAAACCTCATCAAGCTTTGCCTGGTATCTTGATATCGACACAGATGACCTCTCAAGATCTTTTAAAGACTTCTTAATGACTTCAGAGCCAGAACCAGAAGTTGTTCGCATTCTTGGGTGTTTCTCGTTTGTCGAACTCCCAGCTCGGCTTTTGTTCGATGTCTGTGAGTCTTGCAATGAGCTTGCAGTAGAGCCAGTAGGAGAGAGGAGTGGAGAAGGAGGTGGAAGTGGGGAAGGAGGTGGGGGTGATGCTGGGGTAGGGGTGGTCTCACTAGGTTTTGGGATATCATTTGATACAGGTTTTAAGTTTTCAAGTGATTTTGGGCTGTCTTTACTGGTTGTCGTTGGTTCGTCTGTAAATAAAAATATCAGAAAATCAGTTGATGACCAGAAACATTTTGATCGTGCAGCTATCATCTTCCAGGGATAGACCTAACCTTATCAGTGGGAGTTTCAGGGGGTACACCTTCACCCCGCCACAGTTGTCATAGAAAGTTTTGAGTACTATTGAGTATTGAATATTTAGTAAAGAAACTGAAATTTATGGTCAACACTATTTGGTGGGTGAAAACAACTATTATAGACTAATTGCTCCTAGACTCTGGAATATCTGGATACGTAAATGCACATTTTCACAATAAATTTTACTAACCAATTGGAAGTACTTTTGGCACCGACCCATTCACAATATTCTCACCAACTTCTTTCTGTCCTGCTTCAGCTTGCTTTTCAGGTCTTGGACCTAACAAGGTAA